GGGGAACTGAAGGGGCTCCTGAACCTGGCAAAATCCAGCTGGTCTCTCCTCTGTCATCCTGCCTTGCTCTACAGGAGTGGGGCCTCGCTGAAATTAATGCTCAGTAAATTTGGAGTAAGTAACTGCTGCTTCACAGGGTTTGCATTAAACCTTTATAATTCACCAGTGCCTGAGGTCATGGAGACATGCTGGGGCAGATTTACAGTGTGCTTACCTTCTCCTAAGTGGCTGTGGCAACAGGACACCCTCTCTTCTGTTTCCCAGTGACTCCAGATCATTTTTTTTTTGGTGATGACAAGCTAAAAGGAAGCTATTTCTCAATGTCTCCATGTCAGGCTGGGCCCTGCTGATCTTGCAGCCACCCCAGCAGGCAGCTTCTCCAAGGGAAATTTGGGTGAAAACCTGGCACTAAATAACCTCAAATCCATCGTGTTCTCCCTGAGCCATTGTGGGACAGAAAGAAGTAAGATTAATAACTAATTTTTTGCCAGAACAGGCGTCCTCTCAGGCTTGCATAGCAGAAAGGAGTAGTCACTTTGCTGAACATAAGCTTGCTGGATGATAATGTGATTAACATTTGTAGCTGTGCTGGCTCAGATAAGGGTAATTAAATCTCATGCTTCAGGGCATAAGCTAATCACTTGTGGGGTCACTTTATATATAATATTTATATATTTACCCTTTCATGAATATACTTGCCCAGGTGCTGTGGTGCAGGGTGTGCATCCACTGTCGGTGTTGGGTGGAGGCAGGAAGCCCCACGTCAGCTGATGCTTGGAATGTGCAGTGGGAGCTCTACAGCTGCAAGGAAGGGCTGGTTTGCAGAGTGCATCCTCAAGGCCAAGTCCTGTGGGAGCAGAGTGCCAAGGGAGGAAGCCACAGCTGACTGAGCTAAAGAGGAGAAGCTGCTCCTTCACCCAGTGGTGTTGCTAACAGGAAAATGAAATGCATGTCAGCCACCAGCTGATCCTTCCCTGCTGCAGGCCAAAATCCCACTGCCAGCTTGGCTCTGGCTTTGAGCATCTCAGCAAGGAGACATGGTGCCCCAGGGCCAGCAGAACTGTGCCCTGGAGCAGAATCCAGCAGCCCTGGCTCAGTCCCGGAACACCACAGCATTCCAGCTTCTCCCCAGGGCCCGCACTGAGCTCTCCTGCATCCCCAAACCCCATTTTTCCCTGGGATACTGGTCCTTTCTGGAGGCTTCCCACGGGCTGTGTGAGCTGCTGCCAGCACTGCGGAGCGCAGCGATGCAGCCCAGCGCTGCACCACAGCTCTGCTGCATGACCTTGGCTGTGCTATTAAAGGTCACAGTCCAAAAACACAGCTGGATTGTGCATCTGGTTTCAGGAGGACAGGAGAACAGTGCCACAGCAAGCTCTTGCTGCCTGAGCCCTGCTCCTGGTATCTGAGCAGCCACTAATTGCTGTCACCCCAGCAGCACCCCAAGATGTGGGAGCTGCTCTCAGCTGTCTGTGTCACCCCAATGGTGACACAGGCAATGGGTGCATTGTAGGACTCAGCTGAGGATACACCAAGTGTCCACCAAAGCCAGGATTTTGAACTCAGTTTAATCCAGGTGGCTGCCTTCCTCCTCAGCCCACCCTGCCAGTATCCGAGCTCGCTACAGCCTTTGGCCATTTGACCTTTCCCAGAATCAGGCTCGTTCATATGGACTCAGTTCCCCCCAAGGCAGGCACGTGCTCTGGTCAGATGCTGCTGGAAGAAGCTGCATTTCCTTGTGTAATGACTCAGTATCTGCAAAATGCCTTGGGAGATGCTCAGATCCCCAGCAGGAGAGTGCTGGGGAGTGGATTCCGTGTGCATCACAGTGGAGAGAGCTGCATGCTCACTGCTCCAGTGAGTCCTGGGCAGCTGTTCCACTGGGGAGATGCCAGGGGCAGAACAAGAGACACAGGAGGATGTTGTGGGGCTGGCAGGTTTGTCTCCATCCTGCCTGATCACACTGGATAACCCTGTGACCCCCACACCTGGCCCTGCACCCCTGCAGAGGTGCTGGTGGCTCTGCCATGCCCCAGTTGGAGGCACGTGTGGCAACACATGCACAGGACTGCTGCCACATCCCTCCCCTCACCCGTGTCCCTGCCCCTTGCACAGAGCCCACTGGCTTTGATCACAGCTTCCAGAGAGCAAAAAAAAGTCTGGCAGGAGCTCTTTTGTGCCCCACAGTGAGCAGCGTGCAAGCCACAGGGTTATTAAGAAGGCCCTGTGGAAGAGGAGCTGCAGCCCTCTGCCAGCTGCCAGGCCATGGAATGCTGTGCCCTGGGCACACCCAGCAGCAGTGTGCCCTGCCTGGCGTGTCCCCTGCAGGCAGTGAGGACTCTGCAGAGGGACTGTGCTGTGCCCAGACCTCTGCCTGGTGGGTGCTCCCCTGCACAGCTTTGGCTCATCCCTGCCTTGGGATGTTAAGGAGCAGGGCCTGGAGGTGGGGAGAGCTGGCAGAGATGCAGGAAGGACTTGGTAGCAAGAATTCATCATGGAAGTACTCCTGAAGTGATGCCTTGCACTGCTGCTCCCTGCCATGACGGGAGCACATTGTGGGCACATGCCCACTCCTTGGCTCCCACTTGCCCCTGTTTTTTCCTTGGCCTTTTGAGTGTGGAACAGTTGAAGAAATGGATAACAAGAGTGGTCCTGCAGAACGTGGCTGTTCTGTAAATGCCTTCTCATAGAGGCAGCAGCTCTGAGCAGCAGCTGTGGGTCCCCTCATGCCTCAGCTTCTCCCTCCTGAGCTACCCAGGCATGGGCCACCAGCCCCGGGGCTGTCCTGCTTCATGGGTGAGCTGGGACATGCCCAGGGACAGCAGTTCCACGGGCTCATGGCATGGGTGGTGCTGCTGAGATGGCTCAGGAGGGGACAGGAGGACATGCTGCCTCTTTGTGTCTCCTCTGCCCCGTGTCAGGGTGCAGGGTGCTGGATGAACATGAGCTTCTGGCACCTGTCATCTCTTTGTGTCCCTTGGGGCACACCAGGTCTGTCCCCTCATGTGGGACAGCACTTGAGAAGGTTCCACCAGCCTCCTCCTGGGAATCCTGGTCTTCTCAGAGGTGGGATTGAGGCTGGGCAGGCATGACCCTCCTGGCCCCTGTGCTCATCCTGGTGCAGGATGGGGAGCTGACCTGTCAGCACAGGGACAGTCCCACACTCCAGGATGGCAGGCAGGCTCAGTGCAGCTGCATCCTGCTTTTCCATCACGCTTCTCCGTGGATTTGGGATTCGGGAGCGCTGATGTTTTCCCTTTTCTGCTGAGGCAGAGCAGCAGAGACACCAAAATGTTTCTTCCCCTGTTCCCTACCAACTTGCTTTATTTTGCAGCCACCCACACGGCTCCCAGCTCCAGCAGTAATTGCAGCTCCCCATTTGGAATTGCTGTGACAGCAAAGGGCTCAGAGCAGCAGAACATTCCACCACGGGGATCCCGTGCCAAGCGGGATCAATCGGAGATTTGTGAGCACGCTGGGAGTGAGAGGCTTTTCCCCTCAGAAAAATAAAGCACTTTTTTTCTTTTTTGCACTGAGGCAGTGCAGAAAGTAAGGCTCCTGAGATGCAGTCAGGTGCTGGTGGCTCTGAAATGGGGGTGTAACATGAGACAGGCTGCCTGTGCAGCCAGGGAATCATGGAATGGTTTGGGTTGGAAGGGACCTTAAAGATCATCTTCTTTCAACCTTCCTGCCATGGGCAGGGACACCTTCCACTAGAGCATATTGCTTAAAGACCCGTCCAGTCTGGCTTTGAACACTTCCTGTGCCCCACTCATGTGTCCCTACCTTCAAATGCTCCCGTCCTGCCTTGGGGCTGGGAACATCCCCAGGCTGGTTGCACAGGGCTATGGCTTCCTGCTCACCTCTGGTGCAGGTTGCAGTGGTCACATCTTGGCCCCAGAGCAAGGGGAGGATCCCAGGGAAGTGTTCCCTGAAATCAGCATCTTACTGTGCTGGGACCCATGGAGGTGGCCAGGGTGTCCCCAGTTGTGAGATGACCACAGGATGATGGATCATCCCCCCTGGGACAGGCTATAGGGGGTAAAACCAGGGAAGGTGAGTGAAATCAGCAGCTGTTTAAAGGAAAATATATTACAAAAAATGCAGCTGGGGCAGGCTGCGCCAGTCTGAACCTCCCCCAAGCTCCTGGGGCTGACCTGATTTTACAGGAACCTCCCTTTCTTGTTCTCTGCTGCCCTTTTGTCTCCACACCTGGAGGATGCAAAGCCTCCTGGCCTATATTTTGGCTCTAAGATCAATATTTAAAATCCCCCCTCCTGTTTCCTCGGCGCAGGCGCGAGGCATTTCGCTTACCGGGGGAGGCTCGTCTCCCAGAGACCTGTCTGTTCACTATTTCAAATCATTTCCCTGGTACCGTTGTTCTAGAAACAATTCATTAGGGGCCTATTATACAATGTTTTACCTGCCAAGGTTAGAAAAGATCCTGCATGTGTGGTAAAATTGCACTGTGAGCTGTACACGAGAGTGGGGTTTTTGTGTCTGGCTGTAAAATATACTTTTTTTGCCTTTTGGAGAGCGAGTCACTGGGGGTGGGGTGAAAAATGTAGGGGTGATGATGCTGCCTGGGGAGCCCCAGCAAAACTTGGTCACTGTCCACATGAAGATGCTGCAGGTGTGGAAAGGGACAGTTTTGGGGTGTAGCAGCCATTCCTCTTTCCTTGCCCCCTCTCCAGGGGCCCACTTTGAAAATCTGGGCCAAACCCAGTGGCTGGGTCCCCAGGCTGAGAGCAGTTCCATATTTCTGGAGCACTAATGGAGCTGTAGTCCCTGGGGAGCTCATTAAGCATCATCTCAGAGGGCTGCACAGCCAGGCTGGCTGATGGAGAGGCTGCAAACCCCATCCCCTGGCAGGGCTCCTGCTTGAGGAGATGTCCCCCACCCTCCTGAGCTGCCTGTCCCGGTGCCACCAGGGCAGCTCAGCCCCTCTGCCTGGCCGTGCCCTGCATCGTTGCTTTGCAGTTGTCTTTTTCTCTCTGCAGGGAGAATAACTTCATCAAGGACTTCCCCCAGCTGGCTGATGGCCTCCTGGTGATCCCTCTGCCCGTGGAGGAGCAGTGCCGTGGTGTCCTCTCAGAGCCCCTTCCTGATCTGCAGCTCCTCACAGGTTCGAGCTGCCCCCAGGGTCAGTGTCCCAGGAGAGAGCACAGGAGGAACAACCCCTTCTCCCACCCTGGATCCCATGTGGCTCCCGAGGGGCATCATCACCCCCTTTGTGCCAGGGGCAGAAATAATCTGGGGGATGTGTGAGTCCATCCCAGCAGCATCTCCATCCCTGTGAGCTCCTGGCAGTCACAGCCATCCCAGTGCGGGTCCAGGTACCCCACAGCATCACCACTGAGGTTTCCAGCCCTTCCACCATCTCATTTCTCACCCCTGCAGCACGTAGCAAGGTGGGAGGGAGCGTTAAGCACTCCCCAGAGCATGCTCAGCAGTGTCACCCGCCTGCTTTGTCTTTGCAGGGGACATCAAGTACGACGAGGCCATGGGGTACCCCATGGTGCAGCACTGGCGGGTCAGGAGCAACCTCTACAGGGTGAAGCTCAGCTCCATCACACTCTCTGCAGGTGAGGGATTCCAGGGGCAGGGAGATGTGTGTCTGCACGGGTGGGTGGTGGTCTTCTGCCCCAAGCATCCCTCTGACATTTCCCACCTCCATGCTCTGTTCCCAGCACTGCTGGAGAGACAGGCAGGGAGATTCACCTCCTTTTTTACAGGGGGGAAACTGAGGCAGGGAGTTTGGGCAACAAGAGGTGAAGTCAAAGCCAGGAGGAAGCCAGTCAGCAATGAGCAGGAAGAATTTTTTTTAGGGTGGCTGTGTATATGCGTATGTACAAAAAACAGTCAGTCCCTAAAAAAAGGTGGTTTCAAAAGGAACTGAAGCACTTGGAAAAGCAGGTCATATAAAGCAGGGAGTCACAGATGAAGAAGGGGTGGGTGGGAGGATCCTGCATATGTCAAAACATTTCACTGCCACGTTTTTACAGCTACACATTTTGTTTCAGAAATGCTGAAACATTTTGTTGCGACCTGAAATGTTTTGCCTTTTCATTTCAAAATAGCATTTTTTATTTAAAAATCAACGAGTTTTTAAATGGTGAGAGAAAGAAAAAAAAAGATTTTGTGCTAACAGGCTGCACAGCCCCAAAATGAAATAACCTGCTCAGAGCTGAAAAAAATATGTGGGTTCATCTCAAAATGAATTCTTCTGGCTTTTTTATTAGAACAACCTTCTCTTTCAATAAACCAACCAACCAACCAGCCAGATAATCTCATTTTGGTGACAGTTATGACGTATTTTCTTGCAGTATGTTTTCCGTTCCAGCACTGAACCAAAACGGTGCTTTCAGCCAGCTCTAAGTGATGCTGAAGTGCTGTGAAGTCACCAGTGTCTCCAGGATATTTCACCTCCACAGAGCAGCAAGGGTCCATGTCCTTGTCCCATGCCAGAGGTCCCTGCTGTCCATATGGATGTTGCTCAAGTGATGCCTTGACCTTTGCACATCCACGGAGCTGCCACCAGCCCAGCCCTGCATGTCCCTCTGGGCTGTCTCCAGCTTTCCTAAAAATAGTTACCAGTTGTGCTGGGTGTTTGCAGTAGGGATAGAGCATCTCTGGTTATGGATACAGCCAAGCAAAGGCCAAGCACATCCTCTGGGGAGAGTGCTAGTGATGTGCCAGCAGGCTGAAGAGCAGCTGAGCTGGCAAGGATGGAGGTTTTGTGTGTGTGTGTGTGTGTGTGTGTGCACACGTGTGCACATGCACATCCCTGTAAAATTATCTGAGAAATCTCTTAGGGAGAGGAATTAGGGAGGAAGTCAGAGCCACAGCTTGGGGTAATAACAGGTTGTGGATTCCAAAGGATCAGGTGGAGGAAAAAGAGGAGGAGCTGCACCCATGTGGGGCCTTGTGTGACCTGAGCAAGGAACCTCTGGGGCTCCTTCCCCTCGGCTGTGGCTGCCAGCCCTGCCTGGCTGACCTGCCCACCCCCTGCCTCCCTCCCACAGGCTTTTCAAATATCCTGAAGATCCTGAACAAGGACAGCAGCCGGGAGGAGCTGCTCTCCTTCATCCAGCAGTTTGGCTCCCACTACATCGCGGAGGCGCTGTACGGCTCTGAGTTCAGCTGCACCATCCACTTCCCCAGCAAGAAGGTCCAGCAGCAGCTCTGGCTCCAGTACCAGAAAGGTGAGGAGGCTGATGGGAATGGGCAGGGGCACAAACATCAGGTGTCATGTGCTGGTTTCCATCCATCACTCCCTTTCCCATGCATACACCATCACCGTGCTGGCAGGCTCAGGCAGGAGGCTTGACCCAAACTGAGTGCCCAGTGGCAGGTGGCACACATCATTGGCAGCATCCCTGAGCCACCCTGCCTGCTCCTGCCCTTCAGCTTCCACCCTCTGGCTCCATCCTTGCCCAAGGTGACCCCCTTCCCCACAGTGGCCCTCCCATGCCTGGGGTCAGCTGATGGAGATGTGACATAAATGAGCTGTCTCAGAATGGCTTTGTTTTATTGCTTGTGACAATGACAGTCTTTAAGGAAGTGCATTAAATCAATAGCAGACTCATTGTGCTACACCATAAATAACGAGACACATCATTAAACAGGGCAATAAACTTCAGGACTTTGAAGTAATACAGTTAGGTTATGTTTATAAAAACTCCCTTATTGCTGTAGCCTTCCATTTGCCAATTCATCTCTCTCCTCCAGGGAGTTGGGGATATGCCCTGGATCTGATATTTTTTCTATTCAGAAAATATCTGTAGTGTATCACAGAGCCCACCTTTGGGCTGATGGTGACAGAGGTCATTAGAGCACTTGCATCCTGCTCAGGTGGCACTGCCAGGAGCAGCCTCGCTCCCTGGAACCCAGCAGAGAGAGGTGTTCTCCCACACACCACCTCCCTTGCTCTTGGCTCATTTTCTTCTCCATTTCCCCAGTGTAGCTGGTCTTGTAAGCATATTTATAACAGCCTGTGCTCGTTTGTTTGGGTTTTAAATAGTGATAAATGAAGTTTGCCATAGCAATGCCCCTGTTTAGCAGCAGAAGGCACGTGGAGGTGGGTTGTTTATGTACTCATGATGTTATTAATCACTCGGGAGCACTCCCTGCAATCCAGGGGCAAATGTGTTGGTGGGGAGCTGACCCCATGGTCCCAGTGCCATCACCTGGGACCAAACCAAACCCAGACAAGGGTTTCTTAAGAGAGTGAGAGCTGGGAATGAGAGGCAGCTGCTGCAGTCCAGGCCTGACACAAGCATTGCTGCTGTTCCACGATGCTGGGGCCAGAGGGGACATAAACAGTGCTTGGTATTGTGAAATATCTCCCATTCCTTCAGTCCCACCTCCCCCATGTCAGGGGTAGCAGTGGCTCAGGGCTCAGCCACAAAGCCCTGTGGTGGCACAGGACCTGAAGGCAAAGCAGTGCCTCAGTGACAGAATAATTTCCTTTTTAGTCCATGGTATGCAGCTGGACAAGGTGGATCCCCCTCTCCCCACCTGGGTCCTGCCCCCACTCCTGGAGCTGTGCCTGGCTGCTCTGGCATTTGTGGGGCACCCAGGGCATCCTTTCCCAGTGCCTGTGAAGCACCAAAGCACTCATGGCACTCCAGCGATCCCCTGAGAGGTCACATGTAATGCCTGGACATAAACTTTTCACTCCTGATTGTGCAGCATTTGGGCACCAGGTGCTTGCCCTGACCTTGTGGTTTGTGCATGGCTCCATCAGTGGCTTTGGTAGCTGGTGGGGTCGGTGAGGTTGGACTTTGGGGCTGTGGGCAATGCAGAGGTGACCAGTGTTGTATTCAGCTCTTTGATGGCCAGAAAATGCTCTTGGAAGGACATTAAGGATGTTCAGGACTCCTGGGGAGATCAGCCTGTGGACAGAGAAAGTGTCATGGGAAACCCAGGGCTCTGTCCTAGGGAAATCCCAGTTAGCCAAGAGAAAGAGCTTGCTGTTCGTGGTAGATGGATTTTATTCCCAACTCCTCTACTGATTTACCCTCATTTTGCCAGCGACATAAGGCAGATAGGAATAAATAGCTCCAGCTAGACAGTTCTCGATGCCTTCTCCACTCAGAACAGCTCTGGCCTGCCGGGCTCCCTGCTGCTCACCAGCCCGTTCTGAACTGCTCAGTGAGCACACATATGCATCAGCTCTAATAAATACAAAAGTAGGGCCAGAATAACTGTCATTTGTTAGTGGACAAAACAGGTCACAAAAGGAGGGAGAGAGGAGAGTCTCAAGCTAATTGGAACAGCACCAACTGAGGAAAATGCACATTATGGGGTCTTTGCAGCACCACACAAAATTATTTTAATATTTTAATCAACTTCATAAATCAATCGCCGGGCCTCAGGAGGAGGCCTCCAACAATAAAGGCACAATCTGCGCTCGAGCCCTAATTGAAAACATGGTTTTGAAGAGAAGCTCACGCTGCTGGTGCCAGGGCAGGCGCTGGCTCTGAGCCGGCCTGGAGCTGCCCCAGTGCCTGTGACGTGGACCAGTGTCTGCAGAGCTGTCCCTCCTGCCAAGGGCAGGGACAGGCATCCACCTCTGGTCAGGGACAGCAGGGATCGGGCAGCCTGCTCTGCCTGGAGCAGTGACAAGTGTTCCCTTCCTCCTGCAGGTGGATGAGGAGTTTGTAGGGGGGAATGGGGTGACACAGCAGACTGCCCTTGTTCCTAAGGGTTTGCAGGAGTGAATCCTGTGATGGAGAGCCAGAGAGGCACGGTGGCACAGCTGCAGCACACCCAGCACTGTGCTCCTTCAGGGCAGGTGTGGGAGCATCCCCCAGGCTCCCTCAGAGGAACAGCCTCAGTCCGTGAGCACACCAAAGCAAACTCCAATTTTACTTCATGCAGAGTGATTAAAAGCTCATTTTTTGGGCTGCTTGCTCCGGCTCTGTGCAGCCAAGCAATGCTTTAACACATTGAGTGGCCTCCAAGCAGGGACCTTGAGATCGACCCAGCCATTGATCTGTGCCATGGGAGCCTGCATCGGTTTTCTTCCCTGGTGGAGCCAGCATTTAACACTGACAGTGCCTCATTAAGTTGGTAGCAGTTGTGTGAGGACCTTCATTTTGCAGCTGGGACAAACGTGACCTCCCCAGCCAGCTCCAGCTGTGTGTAAGAATGTGCTGGGCCTGGTGGGATGGAGGGAACCAGCTTTGTCACAGTGGTGCTGTGGATTTCTGGAGAAACCAGTGTGGAGAACACCCTGGAGTGCTGGCTGCTGCTGAGCAGTGCCTCCATGGCATCCACACTTCCTCTTTTTCTCTGTTCTGTCCCCACAGTCACGGGGTTGGGGTGGATGAGGTGTTGGGAGATGACACAGCCATCTGACCCAAACTGGGCTATTCCTCACCACACAGTGCCATAATAATAATAAACCTGGAGGTGGAGGCTGGGGGTCACCCCACCTCAGAGACTCAGAAATTGTACATTAGGGAAGAGAGTGATCCCTCCATCCAGCAAATCCCCCTGCTGGGAACCACTTCATTATCTGATAAAAGTTCATCAGAGAGCTGGTTGGTCGGTCGTTCCTCGTTCTGGCTGGTGAGGAGGAGGAGAACTTGCTTAGGGAAGGGGAAGAGCTGCTCTGAGAGCAAAATCTGACAGCCCTTGTCAGATTTCTGCAAGAGCTGTTCCAGTTTGCTTATTCCCACTGGAGAAGCCCAGCTGGGAAGCAGGAAGGGATGCTGATGGGCTCAGGATGTGTGTGCCTGGGTGGGGGAGATCCAGAGGGTTTCACTGCCCAGCTGGGAGGTTACTTTAGGTCTGCAGTGAGGGAAATGTTTGTTTTTCTTGAATTTCCTATGATCTCTAGATAGAGTTTCCTTGACTGAGGTTCCCTGGCCACATTGAGTGCTCAGCAAGCTCAGCCTGTGGCTGCTGCAGATGGGAAAGGTGTTCATGTTCCCTCAGTAATCGATCATTTATGGGAATAGTCTGTGAAGGGGCTCTGTTCTGGCAGGTGCTGTCACATTCCCTAAGCCTTTCTGCTCCCTGCCCTCCCCAGTACTTGCTTATCTTCTCTTGGACAACACTCCAGGAACTGCATTTACCTGTAAGAGGTGACAATTTTCATGCTTTCTTATGAACTCAGCAGTTTTGACAGGAGATCTTCACAAATATTCTTCACAAAATTAAGGATAGAGCCTGGGCGTCTGCTAAAACAGCAGTCCACATTCCTCTGAGTGAGGCCTGTGGCTCCCTCCTGTCCTTTCAAGGCTCCATTTGTCTCCCTTCAGGTGTGATACTGCCATTAACACAATTAAGATTGAACTAGTCTGCAGGAACCTTTAGTGTTCCTTTCCTAGATGCAATCAGGTGCATTAAGAAAGCTGTAAAGCTACTTTTTAGCTGTTAAAGGACATAATGGGTTTCCCTTATATGTGCTTGGTCAGAACTAGAACACATAGAATTTCCCTGGTTTTGAGATTTGACCCTATGTACAACCACTCTATTACCTTTTTAACACTCTTAATTGCTTGGTTTATGTCATTATTTCAAACCCTCAGATTTCAACATTTTGTTTGGAGGAGGTAAAAACAATCTAGCTGGTTGTCATGAAATTTAGCTTAGACAAAAACATGTGCTGTGAGTAAGTCTGCTAAATGACCTTATGCACTTCTCATTGTAATCCAGAATTGCCAGGCAAGTTGAATAATTAGCTGTGCAAAATGAAATAACTTAAAATCCTCACATTGAGTAATGACCCAGAAAAATCACTTAAGCTATACAATAGGAACAACTCAAAGCATCTGGCTTTATTTTCACTTTTGTAGCTCTACCCCCTTTGAAGAGGAACAGGCTCTCCTCCTCATCCCTTCATTCCCTGGCTCCTGGTTTTGCCCAGAACAATGTCCATGGTTCAGCTGTTCTGCCCTAAGAAATAAAACCTGTGATAAAGCTCCAGGGTAGGTCTAACAGCAGCACACGAGGATTGAATAATGTTTGATAAACCAGAAATTCCTACCTGTTTAAAGAGCTGAGATGAGCCCAAGTGATGAAATCCTTCACCCAGATCAGCCAGGTGGCTGCAGAGGGAGGGGAGGGGAGAACCTGCATGTGCTGTGGATGAACCTACTGAGGAAATGTCCCTGCTGACCATCCAGGAGCCCCTCTGGCAGCCCCCGAGCTGGGGTCGAGGCACCTTCACAGCTACACCCCCACACTCAGT